CTCAGTGGTTAAATGCTTGGCTGCTAACCAAAATGTTGGAGGTTCAAACTCACCAGTGGCTCCGGGGGAGAAAGATGTAGCAGTCTGCCACCCTAAAGTTTACAGCCTTGGAAACCCTATGGTGCAGTTCTACTCTCTTCTGTAGAGTCGGTATGAGTTAGAATTAACTCGACTGCAACAGTTTTGGGTTTTGGGTTATACTGATAAGTATAGATGCTTGAGGAAAAACCTAGGAGACTTTTTTCCTTAAACCTATGAGAAATTTAATAAATGCGAACACTTTCTTAATGAAGCACAATTACATTCAACACTGCCATGGGGATCTTTTTCAGTTAGGCAAACACAGAGAGAGAGAGAACAAAAACAATTAGTACAGGTTTTGTTTTTTAACCCCTTGGGTGTATTTTCTTTTGCCTTCAGAACTTCTTGAGGAATCAAAACAACAAAACAAATTACAACCTTGTCTGTGAGACTCTTCAGTTTTTGGACTGCATTTGTGGAAGTACAACTGGCGGCCTGGGCCTGTTAGGTCTCTACATCAATGAGAAGAATGTAGCTCTGGTCAATCAGACCCTGGAGAGCTTAACTGAGTACTGCCAGGGCCCATGCCATGAAAATCAGGTAACCGTGAAAGCAATTCTTCATGCAAAAGTATTCATGACTAACTTATTAGCAAAAGAATTAAGTTGGTGAAAGAATCAACCCTTGTGTACATTTATTGAAAAGATCTTCTTGCATTGCCAGATATGTTTACTTTTATACCAAAATGTACAAAGACTGAATTATAGACTAGTGAATACTGTGCCATATTTTTATTTAATGTCATCGTAAAAGAAAATTCCTATGCGAATGTTGAAGATACAAATCAGACTTACTGAAAAGAGTCAAATATATTTGTTTACCATTGCTCAGCTTTCTTCTTTAGTTAATCATTCCAGGATTTGTAGAATAAACTCCCCTTGTTTCCTTTGTCTCCACTAGAGTGGGTAGTATGTATTATCTCCTTTATGCTCACAGTAAACTTTAGAAGCAGATATTGTTGCTCTCATTTTGCTGATAAATAGGCTCAGACTCAGCGATTAGTGACTTTCCCAGTGTCTCAGAGTGACATAATCAGT